AGGATATACTTACTGATTTTAGAGAGAGGAAGGGAGAGAGAGAGAGAAACATGGATGTGAGAGAGAAACATTGATTGGTTGCCTCTCCTACATGACCCAACTGGAAACCAAACTGGAAACCTAGGTATATGCCATGATTGGAATGAACCCTCAATCTTTTGGTGTGTGGGATGATGCTCCAACCAACTGAGCCACGCCAGCTAGGGCGCTGTAGGTTTTTTGTTTTTTTTCTTTTTTTGAGTAAAAGGAATCAAAACATTTACTCTAAATATGTATCTTTAAATAATAATTATAGCCCGGCCGGGCGTGGCTCAGTGGTTGAGCGTCGACCTAGGATCCAGGCGATCCGGGTTCGATTCCCGGTCAGGGCACATGCCCGGGTTGCGGGCTCAATCAATGACTCTTTCATCATTGATGTTTCTATCTCTCTCTCTCCCTCTCCTTTCCTCTCTCTGAAATCAATAAAGATATATTAAAAAAAATAATAATAATTATAGCCCAGCCGGGCGTGGCTCAGCAGTTGAGCATTGACCTAGGATCCAGGAGATTGAGGTTCAATTCCAGGTCAGAACACATACCTGGTTTGCAGGCTTGATCCTCAGTTGGGAGCGTGCAGGAGGCAACCGATCAATGATGACTCTCATCATTGATGGTTCTCTCTCTCTCCTCCCTTCCTCTCTCTGAAATCAATAAAGATATATTTAAAATAATCATAATGATTATAACAGGCAACAAGAGTTGAATGCTATTTGTTAGGTACTGTTGATTTTACTTATTTTTATTATTTATTTATTTTAAAGCATAGTTTATTGATTTTGAGAGAGAGAGGAAAGGAGAGGAGGGAGAGAAACATTGATGCCAGAGCACAGTATGGATGGGCTGCCTCCTGCATGCCCCCTACTGGGGATTGTGCCTGTGCTGAGAATCCAACAGGCAACCTCCTGGTGCACGGCATGACACCCAACCAGCTGAGCGACACTGGCTAGGGTGGTACTGTTGATTTTAATCAATAATCTCAGGTTATTGTAAGGATTAAATAAATTAATACATATAAAATGTTATAATATAGGTACTATTTTAATTTCCATTTTATAGATGGGGAACTGGAGATGTAGAGAGGTTTTAAAATAACTTGGCCAGGTTCATATAGCTACAAACTATATAGAGAGAGCAAGGAATGGAACCCAGATTGCTCTGGAGGCTATACCTTGAATCAATATACTATCCTGCCTCTCTATAATATATATGATTTTGTATGTTTTTAGATATATACTTTTAATTAAAATGATATCATACTGCCTGGACGGTGTGGGTCAGTGGTTGAGCATCAACCTATGATCCAGGAGATCACGATTTGATTCCTAGTCAGGGCACATGCCCTGGTTATGGGCTCGATCCCAGTGTGAGGGGTGCAGGAGGCAGCTGATCAATGACCCTCTCTCATCATTGATGTTTCTCTCTCTCACTCCCTCTCCCTTCCTCTCTCTGAAGTCAATAAAGATATATTTTAAAAAATAAAATAAAATGATATCATACTGTAGTGATAGTCCTGCAGGTTTTTTGAATTTTAATGATACTACTAAGTACAACTTGCTTCTTTTCCCTACTCAATATGCTTTTGAAATACACTCACATTGCTAGATATAGTTCATTCATTGTAAATGCTGTATATTTCATTGAAAAAATATGCTACGATTTATCTGTTTTGCCTACTGACTAACTTTGGGTTGTTTTATTTTCCCCCTTATTATTATATACACAATGCGAAAATGAAATGAATAGCCTTTTTCAGTTCTCTTGTGCTTATGTACAAAAGTTTCTGCAAGCATATACCTTTTAAAAAATATTTCCCCCCTCTTGAAAAGTGCTGTGAACCAAGATACAAACCTATTTATTTTTCAAAATAAAAATACCCCAAATTTCCATTTTTTGTGCTACTGTGACAGACTCCACCTAAACCAGCTCAGTTGGAATTAGCAGTTCCTTACCTCCTTTCACCTAGCTGAGGATGTAAAATGTGACCTTCTGAGCTGCAGTGAACACTTCTGCTTTCCAAGCCTTAGTATAGACTGAGAATGGAGTCTGTCAGTCCCAGAGCAGAATCTATTCTTGAGGGCTCTGTGGAGATTAACAATGTTTTTCATTCTAAATGAAATTTGTCTAAAAAAATTAAAAAAGTTAACAGATGTCAAGCCCATCAAATTGCTTAGTTAATTTAGCAGGCAACTATGTTTTATATATTGTTTTAACTTCAGTGTCTTGTATTTTATTTTTCTAAAGTTGTTTCTTTTTCCTCCCTTTCTATCTTTGTCCAAATTGCAATTAGCTTGGCCTTCCTCTGCACTGGTCTTTTCTACCCAGATGACTAGCTTAACTCCTTACAACTCTCATAGTGGAAAAACACTGAACTAAGTAATAATGATGTGGGAAAAGTTTGAGCTTTGGTGCTGGATGGACCTTTGTTCTAATTTTGATTCTACCAGCTATGTATCCTTAGGCAAGTTAACCTCCTGAACCTACATTTCTTTTTCTGTGAAGTGGGGATCACACTTTGGTGGTATGTTTTGAAGAATAAATGAGAAAATGCTTGTAAAATTCCTTTAAAAAAAAAAAAAAAAGCTATTATTTCCCTTCCCTGCTGTAGAGGATCTTCAACTCTTAGTATACATGAGAATCACTGGGGAGCTTGGTAAAATTTCCAGGTCTCACTCCAAGAGATTCTGATTTAGGAGGTCAAGGTTGAGACCCAAGAATCTGGATTTTAAACAAGATCCTTGGGTACTTTTGAAGCAGATGATCTATAGACACACTTTTAGAAATGCACTACCACCCTGGCCAGGTAGCTCAGTTGGTTGGAATGTCATCTGGATGCACCAGGATTGCCTGTCAATCCCAGGTCAGTGCATATTACAGGGAGTGCATGAATGGGTGGAACAAGTCGATGTTTCTCTTTCTCTCTCTGAAATCAATAAATAGAAGAAAAAAAATGCACTACCCTTGGTTCCAAGTCTAATTTTGCTAGTAAATAGCTTATTATAAGCAAATTATTTCCATCTTCTGGACTTTATTATTTCCTCAAATATAAAAATGTATGATTGAAACTTTATGGTCTCTACTGGCTGTAAAACTAAAAAAAAAAAAATTTGTTTTATAATACTAAATTTTTGATCTGGTGATCTGTTGCCATTTTTTGGCAGTTCAATAGTGGTACTTAATGGTTTCATTCTTTGGGAACTTGGATTATTCTTCCTTGTGTGAAAGCTCTGGTGAAACTAGCTTAAGCAAATAGAATTTCTTTTTGAAGATACAGGGATATATCTTCATTGAAAAATTATTTTAAGCCAGGATGCAGTTGGGCTTCAGGAATCAGGAACTAGCTCACATTAGGAAAATCAAATTCTCTCTTGTCTGGTTTTTCTTTACTTTCCTAATTGGCCTCCGTCTCTTGGCTTTTTCTGCCTTCTAGGCTGCATTGTAGAAAATGGCCATGGCCAACACTCCTGAGTTGACATGGCTTCATTTTTAGAAAGCAGTCAGACTGAGGAGGCTGGAGTATCTTAATTACAATCACAATTGCTAGGAAAGGAACTGTGATTGGTTCATATTGAGTGGCATTGACTTCTAACTATTGGTAGGGAGTCAGAGTCACATTGTAAGGATGGCCCTGGGAGCCCTGCCATTATTCTCCCTGGTTGGAGGTGGTAAAGGTAGACTGAGTTATGCATTCACTACATTTATTTTTAAATTTAAAAAATTTTTAAATTTTTATTATTTTTTATTATTATTTTTAAAATTTATCTTTATTGTTGAGAGTATTACAGGTGTCCCATTTTTTCCCCCCAACTGATCCCCTCCACCACATTTATGAAAGCATTTCACTAATTGAAGAGTCACATTGTTGTATTTTGCATAAGACCCTTAAAGTCGATTCTCATGAAAAAAGTAGAAGTAGGGAGAGATACGCTAAAAGAAAATGTAGGTTTGAGTTTTTATTATACTTACGTACAAATAAAATTACATACCAGATAGAATTGAGCTTTCTATGGTCACTTCTGCTGGACTGTGCTGTTAATCAACACTGAATTTTTTTTAAAATTTATCTTTATTGTTGCAAGTATTACAGATGTCTCTTTTCCCCATTGACCCCTTCTGCCCTGCACCCACCCCGTCAACACTGAATTAAAAAAAAAAAGATATCTTTATTGATTTCAGAGAGAAGAAGGGAGAAGGAGAGAGAGAGAGAGAGAAACATCAATGATGAGAGTCATTGATTGGCTGCCTCCTGTATGCCCCCCACTGGGGATCGAGCCCACACCCTGGGCATGTGCCCTGACCGGGAATTGAACCTCGATCTCCTGGATCATAGGTTGATGCTCAGCCCTTGAGTCACACTGGCTGGGCAACACTGAAATTTTTAAGTTGCTTTTGGATATAGTTTTCTTCTTTTAAAATGATGTAATTTTATAGTATAAAATCTTTGTCATTTTTGTTTTATATATTTGGGCTTAATAATTTTTCAAATGAAGAGAAAATTATGTGAGGCTATGCAGGGCATTGGTAAGAGCATAGGTTCTTGAAAAAGACAGTCTTGAATTTTAATGTTATCTCTGCCATTTAGTGAACTGTATGATTACTTGATTGCTCTGTGAAATGTACATAATAATACTTATATCATGGATTATTTGAGAATCAAATGACATGACATATTTTGAGCTTTTATACTATGTTTCCTAGGTAGTGGGTGCTCATTGAATGTGAGATATTATCATTGTTATTTTGTTTTTAGAATTGGTGATCTTCATTGTATTCTACTTATGTTAAATACTGACTACGTCTGAGCTTTAAATATATCAGTTTTTTTTTTAAGGTAAAGGCATATTTTTTAGATCTGAAAATCAAACTAGAATGTGAAAGAAGAAATATTTTTACAGTGACAGTTCATTAGTTTGTATGTATTTATTAATAGTTTTAATGAAGTATCTTTTTGATCTCTTATTTAGTGTCAAACCAGAAGAGAAGTAAAAATCAACAAAAATTTATTATGTGTGGAGTTCCTTCTTAAAAGAAGAAAAAAGTGATTATTGCGACTATGGATCGGAGCAAACGGAATTCAATTGCAGGATTTCCTCCACGTGTGGAGCGTCTTGAAGATTTTGAAGGAGGTGTTGGAAACGATGGAAACATGACTCAGGTGGGAAGAGTTTGGCCATCTTCATATCGAGCTCTTATAAGTGCCTTTTCCAGACTGACACGATTAGATGACTTCACCTGTGAAAAAATAGGGTCTGGCTTCTTCTCTGAAGTGTTCAAGGTGAGTGATGCCTCAGCTTTTCTCATATTGTCTTGTTGATGGTCAGCTTACTGCAGAATTGATTGTTGTGTTTAATTAATTAGGATATAGGCTTTGCCTAGTCTCGGTGCTATGGATCTTGAACAGTGTTCTAAACTTTCCTCTCAAGCTATTTATTAACTTGTGAGATATCTTATTATTTTAATTATAAAATAATACATGTTGATAAAAAATCTAAAATCTAAATAATAGTCCTGACCACTGTCCTCAGTGGTTAGAACATCAGCCTGTGGACCAAAGGGTCACGGGTTTGATCCCTGGCCCTGGTTGGGGCACATGAGGGAGGCAACCAATTGATGTGTCTCTCTCACATCAATGTTTCTCTCTTTCTCTTGCTCCCCTCCTCTCTCCCTCCCTTCCACTCTTTCTAAAAATCAATGGAAAAAATATCCTCGGGTGAGGATTAACAAAAAATAAAAATAAAATAAAAATCCAAATAATATAGGAGTCTCTTCCACTTCTCCCTCCCCCCACTCATATATATATATCCAATTATACGCACTGTTAACAATTTGGTATGTATACTCTCTGGATCCTTTTCTATGCTTTTTCATATATTATACACACATCTTACATACATATATAAAAATTTATATATACATATAAGAATATATGTATACATGCATACATTTATTCCCACACATAAAGTTTTTGTTTGCTTACTTTAAAAAAAAATATGTTATACATTATACTTCACATTTAAAGATCTTTTATTGCTTTTTAGAGAGAAAGGAAGGGAAAGAGAGAGAGAGAAGCATCGATGTGAGAGTAAAACATCAATCCACTACCTCCTGCACGTGTGCACCTGTACTGGGGATCAAACCCGCAACCTGGGCATGTGCCCTGACCGGGAATCGAACCGGCAACCTTGCAGTGCACAGGACAATGCCCAACCAACTGGGCCACACCAGTCAGGGCTTGTTTGCTTACTTTTATTTATTTTTTCTTCTTTTTTTAAATTCTTACCTGAAGATATATTTTTATTGATTTTAGAGAAAGAGGAAGCGGGGGCTGCAGGAGAGAGAAACATTGATGTGAGAGAGAAACATTGATTGGTTGCTTCCCTGCACCTCAACCAGGATTGAACCTGCAACCTAGGTATGCGCCCTGATCAGGAATTGAACCCACAACCTTTTGGTATATGGGATGTCACTCCAACCAACTGAGCCACACTGGCCAGGGCATTTGCTTACTTTTAATAAAATTGAGCCTTTAATTCTCCCAAGCAGTCATATTTCCCTGGTTCATTTACTCTCCCAGAAGATGATTTCATACCTTTTTTTTCTCCAATCAAACTCCCAGAACTTCTCTAGTCCTCACTCTCAGTGATGATCTTGCTTCCTAATTCACTGAGAGAACTTCCACACCTCCCATCACCACATATGGCTACTAACCCACATGTCTACTCATTTACTCAGCTTTTGTACCTATGGATGGACTATTTCATCCATACCTTTTTCACTATGGATGAACTATCCATGCTCCAATCTAAGCCATATTTCTATTTGTATGGTATATGCTATTTCCATTTGCCTGCTCAAAGATGTTACCTAAGAAATTATCCCCTTTCCTACATCATATTTCACTCTCTATTAAATTATTTCCATCAGCAGGTAAACATTCTGTTTTTCTCTCACCTTAAAAAGATCTTTAAAGGGAGGAAATTATCCCTTGTTGCTACACTCCCTCGTGTCTTGTTCTCTTTTGGACCAAAACACCTCCACAGAGTTAGCTCCACTCACCATTTCCTATTCCTTTCCTTCTATTCTCTCTCTTTTTAATGTGGTAAAATATACGTGACATAAATTTACTATTTTAACCATGTGTACAGTTCAGTGGCATTAAGTACATTTACAATGTTGTGCACTATCTGTTTCCAGAACTTTTTCATCATCCCAAACAGAATTTTTGTATCCGTTAAACAATAACTCCCTGTTTGTCCCTACCCCCAACCCCTGTTAACTCTATTCTACTTTCTGTCTCTATGAATTTGCCTGTTCTAGGTATTTCATCTTAGCGGAATCATACAATCTTTGTCCTTTTGTGTCGGGCTTATTTCACTTAGCAGAATGTCCTCAAGTTTCATCCTTGTTGTAGCATATATCAGAATCTCATTCCTTTTTATGGCTGAATAATATTCCATTGTATGTATATGCCATCTTTTGATTATCCATTCATTTGTTGATGGATATTTGGGTGGTTTGCACCTTTTGGTTATTGTAAATAATGCTGCTATGAGCTCTGGTGTACAAGTATCTGTTTGAATTCTTGCTTTCAATTCTCTTGAGTATTTACTTATAAGTGGAATTTTGGGTCATATAGTAATTCTGTGTTTAACTTTTTTTTAAAAATTGTAAAATATACATAACATTAAATTTACTGTCTTAACCATTTTTAAGTGTACAGTTTATTAGTGTTAAGTATTTTCACATTGTTGTGTAATCAATCTCTAGAGCTTTTTCATCTTGCAAAGCTGAAACTCTATACCCGTTAAACAACAGCTCCCTCCCCTCGACCTAACCCCCCCCACCATCATTGATGTTTCTGTCTCTCTCTCCCTCTCCTTTCCTCTCTCTGAAATCAATAGAGATATATTAAAAAAAAAGAGTGTGGTAATACATAATTTCTTAAAAGATGGCTGCCCTGTTGTATGTAGGTGTTTATTTAACCACTGTTCTACAAGTTTTAATGTACATGGTACAGGTGCCTGGATGTAATTTTAAAATATTTCAATTTCAAGATACTGAAAGTCTTAGATATGATGAAATGTTGTCTTGAGTTTATTTCAGTGTTTGAAATGAAATATAGGCATTTAATCATTTATTTATTTATTTTAATCTTCACCAGAGGATATTTTTCCATTGCTTTTTCAGAGAGAGTGGAAGGGAGAGAGAGAGAGAGAGAGAAACATTGATGTGAGAGAGACACATTGATTGGTTACCTCCTGAATGCACCCCACCTGGGGCCAGGGATCAAGCCTGCTACAGAGGTATGTGCCCTTGGCTGGAATCGAATCTTTCGGTCCGAAGGCTGACGCTCTAACCACTGACCAAAACTGGCTAGGGCTAATTTTATTTTTAAAAGATGGTTAGCTCATTGTCTAAATACAGTTTTTAATGTCTTTTCCCCCTAGTGGGTTGAAAGGTCATTTTTATTATCTAATTCCTGTTTGATCTGACACTTGAATAGACAGACAAATGGAATAGAAAAAAAAACCCAGAAATAGGCTGAAATACATATGATATGTTAGTATGTAATAAAGGTATTATCTTAAATTAGATGAACCAGTCAAATGATGTTGGCATAACTAGGTAGTCATCTGAAAAACAAATAGAGTTGAATCATATTTTATACCTTACACCATGATAAAGTCCAAGTGGATAAAAATTTTAACTATGAAAATTAAAATCATAAAAGTTCTGGAGAAGAATGTGGAAGAAATAATGAAAAAATACATAAAGTTCTCACTTTTATGTGTGTTAAATTTTTAAAAATATTTTTTATTGATTTTTAGAGAGAGAGGAAGGGGGGGAGAGAGAGAAAATCAATATGAGAGCAAAGCATCAGTCCAGCTACCTCCTGCATGCGCCCTACCACGGTTCGAGCCTGAAACCTGGGCATGTGCTCTGACCAGGAATCAACCAGCAACCTTTCGGTGCACGGGAGGATGCCCAAACAACTGAGCCACACCAGCCAGGACAGTGAAAATAAAATTTTTGAAACTTTTCAAAATATTAAAAAAAATTAATACACTTATTCTTTAAAGCATTTTTAAGTTCACAGCGAAATTAAACAGGAAGTACAGAGTTCCCATATACCCCCTGTCCCCACACATGCACAGCTTTCCCCACTAATGACATCCCACACCACTGTGGTACATTTGTTAAAATTCATGAACCTATAGCATTATCACCCAAAGTCCGCAGTTTACATTAGGTTTTACTTTTGGTTCTGTATATTCTATAGGTTTTGATAAGTACAGAATAGTATCACTGCTCTAAAAATCCTGTGCTCTGTTTATTCATCCCTCCTCCTCCCAGCCCCTGGAAACCACTGATTTTTTTTTTTTTTACTATCTACATGGTTTTGCTTTTTTTCAGAATGTCACATAGAAGTTCATATCACACAGTATATAGCCTTTCAGATTGGCTTCTTTCACTTAGTAATATGCATTTAAGTTTCTTCCATGTCTTTTCATGGTTTTATAGCTCATTTCTTTTTAGCACTGAATAATATTCCATTGTCTGCATTCACCACAGTTTATTTATTTCCCACCGTCTACTGAAGGTTCTCTTGGTTGCTTCCAGGTTTTGGCAATTATGAATAAAGCTGCTATAAACATCTATGTGCAGGTGTTTGTGTGGACATGTTTTCAATTTATTTGGGTAAATACCAAGGAGTGTGATTGCTAGATCGTATGGTAAGACTATGTTTAGTTTTTGTTTTGATTTTTTAAATCTGATTCTATTTTTTCCATTGCTTTTCAGAGAAAGAGAGAGGGGGAGAGAGAGAGAGAAACATTGATGTGAGAAACACATCAATTGGTTGCCTCCTGCACCCTGACCAGGGTGAGCGCCTGCAACCAAAGTATGTGCCCTTGGCTGGAATCGAACCTGGGACCCTTTAGTCCACAGGCCGATGCTCTAACCAACTGAGTTACCTGGCCAAGGCCTAAGCTTGCAGTGTTTTTGAAACTAACTTGTGCCTGGCGGATGTTGCTAAGTGGTTTGAGAGTCAAGCCATGAACCAGGAGGTCACGGCTTGATTCCCGGTCAGGGCACATGCCCGCGTTCCAGGCTAGATCCCCAGTAGGGGGTGTGCAGAAGGCAGCTGATCAATGATTCTCTCTCATCATTGATGTTTTTCTCTCTCTCCCCCCTTTCCCTTCCTCTCTCTGAAATCAATAATAAAAAAGAGATTTAAACTAATTTGTAACAATTTTTGCAGTATAGAAATAGTTC